TTAGCTGCTTTATAGGCAGTGGAAAAGTCCTCACTAGCTGTGGATGAGAAATAACGAACCCAACATGTCTGAGCCGGTTTCGTATTTGATCGTCAGGATAGGGCAGTTGTGAAAGTGACGGACTTAAGATCAGAGAATCCATTGTCTCTCATGTCTATATCTGTGATAGAAAATCCATGAGCAAAGACCAAGTCCAGGATGTGACCATGAACATGCGTGGGACATTGTACATATTGAGAGAAATCAAAAGAATCCAATAGATTACAAAAGTCTTTGGTTAGCAGCTTATTAGGACAACAGATAGGAATGTTAAACTCACCAAGCAGTAAAATTTGTTCATATATTGCTACTACATTCCCCAAAAAGAAATAAATTGTTAAACTGTGGGGGCCGGTAAACAACTGCGCATAGTACTGGATTTTCTGTGTTCATTAAGGACATTTGAACCTCAAAGCTTGTGTAAGTGTCTGTCGGAATGAAGCGGCCTTGAAAAGAGTTTTTAAAAACAATGGCCAAACCTCCCCCGCGACCGGAGTGTCGTGGAGAATTAAAAAATGAGCAGTTTTGAGGAACAAGTTCAGAAAAAGGGCTCGAGTCCCCCAATTTAGACCAGGACATAAACAGGACATCCCGATTTTGTGAAATAAAAGTCATGTAAAATGAAAGTCTTATTTACCAAGGACCTCATGTTGAGTAATGCCATCCTTGGTGGCAGAGAATCACTCTCAGGTTGAATCCCTCTGTTTAGTGGGCACAGAAACTGAGGGCTCACTCCACCTCGACGAGCCCGGGGAAGTAGACACACCATGGAAACATTGAGGGAGTCAGGAACAATAGGACGAATCCAACGACTCCGGTAAGATGGCACAGTGGACCGAAGAATTCACTCTGGCTTCCAGTCTAGTAGCGGCACCTCGTTTGCTGCGTCTTCTACGGCGTTTTTTGCGAGGAAGATTAGAGGTGTGCCGACACAGGTGCTCCGAGATATTCATCCAGGGTGATGAGGAGAACGGGTGAGAACCGCTCCATAAATCCTTATTAATATTGATGACTGAAGTTTTCAAATCTAGCAACATTTGCTGATCATAAATAAAAGTTGTAGGCCATGTTTTGATCACAGAGAAGCAGAAAATACTGAAAATAATCCACAATAGGAAGAGCGACAGACGGCTTGCCAAACAGCGGCGCCATCTTGCCAATTTATGCAAGAGAATATACAAGCAAAAGTACATCGTTAGTTGCCGGCAGTATCACACCAGCTCTAGACAAACAATGACACCTAAAACTATCCTGTTACTATAGCTAATATTACAACAACAGCCTGTCTGGCAAAACCAATGTCAGTCACGAATGGAGAAGAAACAACACAACCTTGGTGGTTGTTTTCAAGTCTACCCGTTTAGGGCTCTTCAGCACTGGAAAGCTTTTCTAATATTAATGGGGGTCCCAAAGCACTTGCCTGATCGCAACCCTTCTTTTTCTAGTAATATTTCACCGACTTTTCCTTGAAATGTTTCTCAGCCATCTCTTTCTAAAGTCTACCTGCAGAACTCCCTCTTGCTCACACTCTCCTCCCCCATCATGTGTACATGTGTGCTTGTCTAATCTGCTTGCTTGGTATAATCCACATTCAACTGTATTTCTCAGAAATCTACTGCACCTTTAAGCTTTTATTTCGTGATTAAGTGAATTTTATTTTTGGAGAAATGCCAAACAAGTATCTCAGGCTCTGTTTTCCAACACCTGTCCAATTTCGACCACTTCAAGAGATGGTCCGGATTGCTTTTGTCGTGTTAACACTCATGTGGTTGAATGCATTTGAACAGCCAAAAAAACAAAACTCCTACTCTCCGCCTACTGACCTAGCCAGATATTTGTAAGGATCACCTGTCTTTCCAACAACAGAATCCAACAGCTCAGAGCTTTTGTGAAGTTCTTTTAATTTGAATTTAATTTTAAATAATAATTTGAAATTGGAGTCAGATTAACCACAGTCACATTCATATAACTTTTTTGGGGAATTATGTTGGGCCTATTCCAGTGGCAATTTCTTCAAGACTGCAAGGGAAGCTCAGCTTCTCCTGTAATGTCCAAAAATTAATGGTCAAATGTGTACTATTGTGTAAACATTCTATTGACTAAAAATGCGTCTGAACACGGTCATCACGGAGATGAGTTCGTTCAGAATCGGGACATAATCGCAGCTACATGCTGCGATTATGTCCCGTTCGCGGATGCTCGGCATCTCTGGGGTGAATAGAGAAGTCGGCTGGCATGGAGTCCGGGCGTCTGCGTGATGATTGGAGGATCTTTACGGATTTTTCAAGTGTACTCGAAAGACGAACTCTTGTAACATATTTCTTGGTATTTGCAATTTTCATTATACATTTCAGAGTTTAACCTAATTCCCACATTTCCTCCGTCGATGGCAGGTGCCTTGTTACATGTGCGGGCGTGGTGTTTGGATCATGACACATCTGTCTAGTTTGGTTTCGGTTTTGTGTCGGGATTCGGACATGCATGCTCTGAGTGTTTGTTTTCTGTTGTGAGCGCACAGGATGAGCTTATGGTCGTTCCTGTGCATAACGATCTGTCTTGTGTTCGCGTGCAGTTTCGTGTTTGCTCTGTTGAGTGTGTTGTTTTTTTGTGTAACACGCGGTTTGTGTTCACATTGGCCACATGCTTTCATGTCATGTTTTGTCTTGTGCTGTGTAGCACACAGTGTTTAGCACACTAGCTGTGTGCTTTCATGTTGGCCTGTTCTGTGGGAACACTTGGCAAATGAGTGTTCTTATTGTTCTTCATGTCTCATTTTGTGTGAGCACAATTGCTTGTAATTTGCTTTACTGGCCATGTGCTTGTGTTTTTGTCATGTTTGGTGTGAGCACATGGCTTGTCATGTGTTCCTTGTGCCACATGCTCTCCTGTCGATTGTGTCGACTCCCATCTTGTTTCCTGATTATTAGTTATTTTTCCCCACCCTGTCCTCCCTTGTTACCTGCCTTTTTTGCTCCCTATTTATTGTCCTTGTCCTGTGCTGATTTGTAGTTTTTGTTTGTATTTTTTATTTTATTATTAAAAATAAAGCCCATCAACTCTGCACCCGAGTCCTCGCTCTTTCCCACACCATCCCCACACCTGACACTCGAGTTTTTGCTTTCGGGGTCCCCCTACAGTTGGGATAAACAGTATTGTCTTCTATTACTGTCGTAAAATCTGTCATGGTTACACTAGGGAATACCCCGAACTCAGAGGGAAGGAGTTCTCACATCTTGGGCAGACTCCAGTGTTGCGTGTGAAATGTCTTTATCCCAAGTACATTGGTATATATTTTAGCATGTCATATGAATATAGTTTTATGGGCTTTATTTTTTTCAAATGTCAGAAGATCGCGTAGCTCAAGTTTACAAGCCAGCGTCTTTATAGTAACGTTATCCTATTGGCTACTGTTTTCCATAATGGATGTATGCTAATTCAATTCAATGTTTATTGGTAGATAATAGCCATGTCGTCAATATAATAATATCAAGCTACCATAGATGAATCTGCAAATTTGAAAAATCTATTTGCATTATAGTCTGAGGCAAGACACTTTGACTAGAAAAATAAATAACAAACATGACTATCAGCTGCCCCGCAGACATTATTTTGTTCGTCTAATCATGTATTATTTGCTTGCAAGAATGTAGCCCCTACCAAACTCAGTAATCAGTATACTTTCTTGCTGGAGCTGGCGCGAGCTGCCCGCCCCGGCTCTATGGGGATGCTTGAGTGTGTTAAGCGCCCTCAAAAGAAAGCAATGCAGTCTACATTGGATGCAGCGAGGGGCAAAGATACACAACACATTACCAACAGTAAACTGATCGTGCACGCGCTCTGTTTCTGACACACTTCACATTTGTTTTTACTTTGCTGCTTCAGCCATGACAACATACAGAGGTAAAAAAAAAAAAAAACGCTTGTTGGGCTCTCGCGTCGGAATTTGAGGAAGTGGGGGAAGTGACGTATGCTGTAAAGCAGTCGAATTTTGTAATTCTTTTTGTGCTTGGGTTCCTACCCGCACCTCGATGTTACAGAGTGCCAGTAAAAGCGATACAGACACTGTCAGGCTATGGCAGACCTGTCATTCAACCTATTGTAAGTCGATGTGCCATCTCAAGGGTTTTGGAAAAATATTATAAAGCTTGAAAAAAATACATAGCTTTAAGACATTTAAAATTATACCTAATGAGAGTTAGTTGACATGTAGTTGAAAGTTACTTATAGTTATAGAATGTCTAAAGTGACTATCGAAATAAAGTGCAACCGAACTTTTTAGTGACTTGAGCCTTTAGGGAGAGGGGGGCTCATAGATAAGCGAGGAGAGAAGTCTGGGCTAGGCATCGTCAAGTGCAACCAAACTTTTTAGTGACTTGAGCCTTTAGGGAGAGGGGGGCTCATAGATAAGCGAGGAGAGAAGTCTGGGCTAGGCATCGTCACATGTGTTCTTTAAGATCTTCTTTCCAGATTAGTGAGTTTTACTGCAGTTTTTTATCTCATGTTCTGTCTTAGCAGGAAAACTAATTATGTGTAGTTTCATATTGAAAAGTAACAAAGCAGTGATTTTGCCTGTGTGGCACTAGGTCTGATTTGACAATATCGATTTCTTATTTTTTGATTAATCAAGATCTTGTCTTTGCCGTTTTCAGTTGTGCACCAACAACACTTCATTAAACATAATTTATACAATACCTACCATCCAGTAATCACAATAAAAGTGTTGTGCTTTGTTACTTTTGATATGAAACTACATCTTAGTTTTTAAGTTCTTTCATAAATCTTTAATGTGGCATGACAGATTGCTTCACATAATAACACCCATAACGCTTCACATAATACCTGTGTTTTCCCCTTATTTAAGGTTGTGACATCATGTGAAACCTAAATTAATGTGGTTAGGTAAGCTTTGACTAAATAATGTAGAAAAAGTAATGATTTGTATAACTTTCTTTAAATTACAGTGACTGCTTTGAGGATTGGCTTGAGGCGCAGAAGATCACAGCGGCTCTTCTAGAAAACAAATCATACGAGAGCCTTATAGACTTTGACAACCATCTGGATGACCTACGAAATGACTGGACCAACCCTGAGATCAATAAATCTGTCTTGCATCTATGCTGAAGCCATCCAGAGGTCCTGTCCACCTAACCCAACCATCAATGCTTAAATGGGATGCATGTATTCAGTACTGTTAGTGACATGCCCTCTCTCACTGAGCAGAAAGATTTACAAAAGTCTGAATGAAACATTCTAAGTGCTGCATCCTCATGTTAGAAAACACTGAGGTGACTCTTAAGAGTCCAATGTCAGATGTTATTTTTAAACCTGTTTTCATGCAATAGTTTGTAAGATTCATCTAAATGCTACTGGACAAGTCCATCATATTTAATATTGCTCAATATGGTCATTTTGTTCCCCTGTTTTGGGATGAAGCTTTAGTTTAAATTAGTTATCATTATTTACTTTTCTTAACACTTAAACTGTTCAAATGAAAATGTTTTACTTTAGTGTAGAAATTAATATATTTTCCATAAGAGATTGCTTTTATGTTTGCAACAGACCAATGATAATTTGTTAGTGGGGAAAGAAATATTTTTGGCTCTAAATATGCAGTACACAAAAGGAATAGACTTTAGGTATGAGATCATCGTGAATGAAAATTGTATAAAAATGAATAAAAAATACTTTATTTCCAAATGTCCTTAAATTTCTCTGAGTTCAGCTGTCTATAGTCCAGTTGAGTTTTTAAACATTATTAAGCCAAGTCATCTTTATTTAAATGGTGCTTTTTTCAATACAGATTGTGTCAAAGCAGCTTCACAGTGATAACATGAAAATAATACAACAAGGTTTGTTTCTAGAAGAAAATTGCATCATCGTCCACCTAAAGCAAGGCAGATCATGTTTTAATGCCCTGTATTTTCCTTCTCATTTTTAGGAAAAGCATTAGTAACACTTTACAATAAGTTTCATTAGTTAACATTAACAAAGAATGAACAATACTTCTACAGCATTTGTTAATCTTTGTTAATGTTAATTTCAACATTTACTAATACAGGGGTTGGACAATGAAACTGAAACACCTGGTTTTACAACACAATAATTTGTTAGAATGGTGAGGGCCTCATTTTGCATCCAAATACAGCACCAATTGACAGATAGAAGCCCTTCACAGTGACCAGAGAGCCGTTCCTCTTCCAGAACAGTGTCCAGGTCACTATATGATGCTGGTGGACTCGCTCCTCCAAAACACCTCAATAATATTCAGATCTGGTGACTGTGCAGACCATGGGAGATGTTTAACATCACTTTCATCTTCATCAAACCCTTCTGTCACAAGTCTTGCTGTGTGTGTTGGTGCATGATCATGCTGATACACGGTTTGAGCATCAGGTGCTCATGATCCTCCAGAAGGGTTTGGTAGTCCTCGGCAGTGTCGTGTCCATCAAATACAATCAGGATTGTCATGATATTGGAGCTCAAACCATTACTGATCCACCCGTGCTTCACTCTGAAGATTGGACGCCAGGCATATAGATGTGAAACCTCCAACATTGGCCAGTGTTTCAGTTTCATTGTCCAACCCCTGTACTTTATTAAAATCTTGTTAACATTAGTTAATGCACTGTGAACTAACATGAACAAACAATGAACAGCTGGATTTGTATTAACTAACGTTAACAAAGATTAACAAAAACAGTAACAAATGTATTGCTCATGGTTAGTTAATACATTAACTAATCTTTAATAAATGAACCTTATTGTAAAGTGTTACCAAAGCATTTAATTACCATTGTTTTGGATAACAAATGTCATTGCAATGAATCTAAAAATATAAACTACATAATTATGTTGACATCCTATATTTTTACAATGAAATTTATGACAAGAATGTCTTCTGATATCCTCAGTTGTTGCTAATACCGAGCTGCATCAAACACATTTGTAAATTACTTTCCTTTAACCCATTGTGTGAGTTCACTTTGTTAGCACATATAAGTTGCTGCTGATTGGACTGCAGAAAACGTATAATCTCAATTCATCCCCGGTGCAGGGTGTTTCCAGGAAACATGATGTTCAACTCGGAAACCGTAGCAAAACGTTGCGCACCGTTTTGAACTTGAACGTGCCCCAGGTTAGCCGTAGAGCGCATGACGATATACACTGCTAAAAGCCAACTTTCATGGTGCCTAAAACCCAAGGTTGGCGCAAACAAACTAAACTGAAACATACTAGCCATAAACCGGCTTCATGGTAGGCTACTCAGGAAAAATAGAGTAGTTTTTCCAGAGTGTTTTTTTTCTTCCTTTTTATCTATTTTGAGTGAACAGGATAAAATGAGTACATAGAGAGGGAGCAAAATTAAAGAGTAACTATTATGACTCCTCCCCAAAATCGATCTCCTCCAAAAGAAAGTTTCGTTTATCAGCCAATGGCATTACAGCTATTACTGTTCTGCACGGCCATCGCGATCGCGGTCTGCATTTAGGTTTGGAAAAGATCGTTGTGCTTCTGCTGGATTTAAAAGTAAATAGAATTCCAAAGTTTTGTACTTATTTTCATAGAAATCGCCTCTGTTTTGAGCTCAGATCATTTTGCCGCACTTTTTAAACATTACAGAGATAGCTTTCTCATGCTAACTTGATGTGAAGTAACGTGACCGTTAGTGCTCGACAAGAAAATCACTTAACGTTAACTTAATCACTTGTTAAATGCTGTGGTACGCCAAAATGTTTAGCCTACGTTAGTTTACTGGGAAGGTGAACACATAGCCTAACCTTAACTTAGAGTTTAAGGATCACATTTTAAACTGGCAGTAAGGCTAAAATCTTTCAGTTGCTGGGGCAGCTGTCACTGAGACCTGTCACTCCACCTGTCACCGCTATATGCGCCACTCGACCTGTCAACTCTATATGCACCTGTCACTCGACCTGTCATCTGTCATCGCTATATGCGCCTGTCACTGGGCCTGTCACCGCCATATGCACCTGTCTCTTGACACGTCACGACTAAACTGGCCTTCCTACGACCCTTAACGGCAATATGCGCCTGTCCCGCGTTCCGTCACGGCTATGTGCGCCTGTCTCTTGACCTGTTACGGCTATACGCGCCTGTCCTGCGAACCGTCACGGATACATGCGCCTGTCTCTTGACCTGTCACGGCTAAATGCACCTGCCACACCTCCGGCTATGGCTATACGTGCATGTCCTGCCTCCTATCACCGCTAAATGCGCCTGTCACTCACTAAATCTATGCTATATGGGCTAGTTATTGTAATTCTTCATGTTTAGCCTACACAATATAGGCCTAGTAGTATAGGCCTGGTAACGTAGTAATAATAATAATAATTAATATTGTCAAGCAAACCTCACATGCTATCTTAAAGGGTTAGTTCACCCAAAAATGAAAATTAAGTAATTAATTACTCACCCCCATGCTGTACCAACCCCGTAAGACCTTCGTTCATCTCTGAAACACAAATAAAGATATTTTTTGATTAAATTTGAGAGCTGTATCACTACCACATAGGCACCCTAAGGGATTGAAACTTCACGGCCCAGAAAGTCATCGAAGAAAATGTTTAAATATTCCATGTGACTACAGTGGCTCAACTATAATTTTATCAAGCGACGAGAATACTTTTTGTGCGAAAAAAACAACAAAAAAATAACAACTGACTATTCCTTTTCTTCCTTCTCGGCCTGAGACAAGAGTTCAAGAGATTTCCACGACGCATGCACGAGAAAAAAAAATGTTTTGCCTATATAAATGGCACGAGAAATTAAATTTGTGGTATAGATACGCACTTTCATAGTGCAACATTTAGTGCAAGTTTACCTTAAGATAGTATGCAGTGAAGTTGGGCTGATCAGATTGATCATATTGTGTCCAAAATGGCTAAAGGTATTGCTTTTTCCAGGAGATGTTCAGTATATTGTCCACCAGCAGTTATGAAATCAGTTATGTTTTTTTTTTTTTTGGATTTGAGTCAGAAGAGTTGCCCTATATTTTCACATTAGAACACTATTTCAGGTTATCAGTTGCCCAATTTCTGGATAATTATTTGATAATTCTTTATTAATTAGGGGTTCCCTATATTTTCACTTTAGAATACTGTTCCAGGTTCCAAGTCATTCCTGAAGAATTATCTAATAATTATTTATTAATTACTAATACTGTAAGTTCCCTATATTTTCAGTTTCCCATTCTATGCTGAGGAAAACAGTACTGTATAAAATATAAAAATAATCTGAAGCACTTGTGTATGGTTCCTTTCTGAAGATTTCTTTTTCTTTTCATTGTCTGGTTTGGAAGCACCACCCAGGCAGAAAGGAGAGCTCTCCAGAGGGTAATATCGACAGCGGAGAAGATCATTGGATTCGACCTTCCTTCTATGGACACTTTATTTACACAACGCTGCAGGAAGAAAGCTAAGAACATTCTAAGGGACACACACCACCCTGCACACTCCATGTTCAAACCTAAACACTCAATATATAACTTGAGATATAGCAGACCGGACAGTATTATTTCACACATGGTGCGGTTCTATAAGTTTCTTTCCAGCCATGGTGAGACTGATGGCGAAGGACATGGCAGAAGGAACAAATGTGTCTGCCTCATTTTTTTTGTAAAATGACCGATGTTATTTCTTTTTGTATAGAGGTACAGGAAGGCAATGCAATGTCCATGTGGCGGTCTCTGTTAGATAGAAAATGTTTATTATAGGTGTTATGTTTATTATTTTATTAAGTTTTTTAAAATATTTATATCACATAGTATCTTGGGACAGTGCAATATTTTTTTTTTCTTTCAACGTAGAGCAATCTTAAATTTAATCGTAATCTTAAAGTAACAATTGTAAGTGTGGGGGGTTGCTTGACATAGGTTTAAGCTGCCCTTCGTTGAATGTATTTTTTAAGGTCTTGATTTGTATTTCTTAAAGTCTATTTATTGTG